AGGCCCATTAAATCAGTGGGGACTTAGTGAGTCAACTTTTCCATAAATTCCATTGATTAAAATGGAACTACTCTGGTTGCAATTTACTATACTAAAGTAAGGCATAAAAAGTTTTTAAAGTTTCAAAATATGGCAAGATTGTTCTACATGCTGTCAGGAGTGCATAATTAGACTTTTTGAGCCAAACAGCTTATAAACATTTGGGGAGACATGGGGTACCATGCCCCAGGAGTCCTTGTGGGCTGCGTTTGGGATCCAGGAAAGCTGCATGCCAACATAGCAAATAAGATTTATTGTAAATAAGACTAACAGAATGGTTTCAGAAAGCTTCTTTGATGACTATCAAAGTTACAAATATACCGAAGTTACATTTCATTTATACAATGATTGTTACACTACCATTTTCTGTGAAGGAATAAACTACTGGTATTCATGGGATTTGGCCAACTTCAGCTTCATACGTACATACATATACCGTATTTTTCCATATATAAAATGACACTCTTTCCTAACATAATTAGAGGAAAAATTTGAGGGTCGTTTTACACACGGAAGGAGGCAGAGGCAAAGGAGAAGTTGCACGTGCGCTTAGGCGCCTCTTGCTGGTGCCACTGTCGCTGCCCAATTGCCTCCTCCAGGGCTCACGGCTTGTCCCCTCCGGTGGCGGAGACTGCAGTAGCAGCAGGAGACGGAGACGGAGGCAAAGGAGCACTCGCATGCGCTCAGGCACCTCTTGCTACTGCCTCCCCCTGCCCGCCCACCCACCTCCTCCAGTGGAATCTCCACCTCACGTCCACCTTGTCCCCTCCAGTGGTGGAGGCAGCAGGAGATGGAGGCAAAGCAGTTGCACTGGAGGAGGTGATTCAGCAGCGGAGGCAGTAGCAGCAGGAGAGTCTGAGGTGGAGGAGCAGTTGCCTGTTAAGCAAGGGTCAAAATTAGGGGGTCGTTTTATACATTGGAGATCATATACACAGAAAAATATGGTAAATGTTTTTGAAGCACATACATGAAAGACATAGCTACATACACATATATCTAAATGGAGTTTGAGAACCCTATATATAGCTACGTAACTTTGCTGTACGCTATGAATATATGCAAAGTAAACACACTGCCACATAAAATATGGAACTGCGACCTAACTATTCTTTGGTCTGTGCTTTTTAAATATAAACAGGCAGCTGTTATTTATTTGTAAGTTGCAGATTAAAGCAAGCATAATTTAGTAAATCCCTACTTAAACTAAAATGACTGAGGGCAGAAGGATATTCCAGAGGTAATTTTTTACCAGGGTTGAAACCTCATCAGAAAAAACAAACAAACCACAATCTGCTATTTGTTAATTCCTTCTTTTTGGTATACAGAACTGTAGTAATAGTTAATTTATAGTAAAATATGTAGTGTATTTTACTAAAAGTATTTGAGAAAGCAACACATACAGTATTTAGAAAGGTGCTTTAAAGACAATTAAAATACATAAAATATTTAAACAAGCACCATTAAGAGAAGCAAAAATTTGGTTTACAGTAGATTTTATCATTTAATCAAGCAGAAATTTGGTTTAGATTTTATCATTTAATCAAGTAGAAATTTGGTTTAGATTTTATCATTTAATCAATGGTGTATCTTGAATTTAAAAACATTTGTGTTAGTCACTAAAGGTCTTCAAAACTGGAAGAGCCAGAAACAGAATTTTTCAGAGATACTGTTGACCCTCACTTGATTACTGGCTCCTCAAAGTCTCTTTTGCCTTTTTGTCCCAAAGGTTATCCAACTTAACACCCAGAAACATATAAATAGGCATAATCCAGAGAAAAGGGTAGATGAAACCATCATCATCATCATCATCATCATCATCATCATCATCATACACCATCTGACAGCCAGGCCACTCTGGGTGGCTTAGTTAGTGGTATTTTTTTAATATATTTCCTAATTGCTCTCTCTCTCTCTCTCTCTCACACACACACACACACACACACACACATACACAAACTAACAAGGTGTTGGCTTCACAGAATTTTACTTAAAGGGCAGGTGTGGTTCCAAAGATTACACAAATGCAAGAGTAAGCAAACATTCAAAGAATTGAATGAGATGTGATGGCCATGGCTCCTGAAGTCATACTAACAAGAAGGCAGAATAGACTTTTAGATTCAACCCAAGCTTTTAAATTCTACTTGAGATAAAGGCAACACTTTATTGTCTCTTTGCTTCACCAAAGACAAAGATGTGGCCCTCATATCTGCCTAATGCAGAACTTTGCTTCTGTGAATGGGTCACATGGCAAATTTTGATTTCTGCTTTTGGAAACCTGAATTGAATAAGACTGCAACCACATACATGTTTACAGGAGTGTCAGTTCAACAGAACTCAGAACACCTTACCTGAAAATGCAAAGGGATTATAGAGATAATATCTTACTCTGTAGGAGTAGCATTCAGCATCTTTTCTTCCATTTTTAAGAAAGGATGTTTCTCTTGAGATATGTATGGATTAGTGAGGTTTAAAGGGGCCAGGGATGTACCATAGGGTTGGAAAGATACAAGGTGTTTTTTCTTTCTTTCTTGAGTAGTCACATACCTAAAGACTTTAAATGAAATAGGTAAGTATCTCAATTCTCATACTGTATTTACTGAATACATATTATCTCAGTAGTTTCATCTTGTAACTCCATATATTTCTGTCTGCCTAACTTTGTGTAAAGGATTTGTAAATGTAATTGTATACCATTTGTTTTTAATATTTCTAGTATGTGAAGCCATTGTGGTGGTTGCAGACAGTGAGCTTAGCCATGGAAATTGAATGGAGAGGGTAAAATCACTCAAATATCTCACACATGCCTTGAGAAACATGTTAAATCACTGTAAATCAGGTGCAACTTGATAGCACTCACAGACATGTTTGTGCTATGTACTGTATCTCTTGCTGTGAGTACTGTTTTTGCTTATACATACAGTATAGTATTGGGGTTTTTTTTGCTTATACATACAGTAGTCTTGGGCTTGATATAACAGTAACTTGTCCTTTTTGAATAAAAACTGGTGCATAACATTTTAATACAGCAGTGAATGCTTTTATTCATACTACTGTCCTGATTTTGCCATTTGGTGTAAACATTGAAAATGTTTCAGGTACTGTAGCCTCCCAAATTTAACCAAAAGTCTTTGCTTATGTAATATACAGTTTGAGGTTACTAACCTAAGTTTATAGAGCATCTTCAAATCTGAATAAAATATACCCTGTTTCCCCCAAAATAAGAGTGGGTCTTATATTAATTTTTGCTCCAAAAATGCATTAGGGCTTATTTTCAGGGGATTTTTTTCATGTACAACAATCTACATTTATTCAAATACAGTCATGTCATCTTCTGGTTGCTGCAGAATGCTGCACAATGGTGGAGGGTGGGCTTTCACTTAACTACGGCTTATTTTTGAAGTAGGGCTTATATTACGTGCATTCTGAAAAATCCTACTAGGGCTTATTTTCAGGTTAGGGCTTATTTTCGGGGAAATAGGGTATTTACTATACAACTCTCTCTCTTGACAATTCCTCACATTAATCAATACACAGTTTAGACAACAAAGGCACTTAGTTTACCAATGTGCGCATCTGATAAGCATCACAATCTTTACTGCCTTACTAAACTACTGGGAGAATTAATTTTTAAGTTTATTTTTCTTTACTTCTCTGAGCTATTTAGGAAAAATAATTTCTATTTTAAAAACATGGCATTACACATACACACTCCTGTACTGCAGTGAGTCCTGGACCCTTTGTGCACGGCAGGAGAGGAAGCTAAACACCTTCCATATGCGTTGCCTCCAACGGATTTTTGGTATCACCTGGCAGGACAAAGTTCCAAACAGAGTAGTCCTAGAACGAGCTGGAATTTTCAGCATGAATACATTACTGAAACAGCGACGTCTACGTTGGCTCGGGCACGTTGTGAGAATGGCTGATGGTCGGATTCCAAAGGATCTCCTCTATGGAGAATTACTGCAGGGAAATCGCCCCAGAGGGAGACCGAAATTGCGATACAAGGACATCTGCAAGCGAGATCTGAAGGCCTTAGGAATAGACCTCAACAGATGGGAAAACCTGACATCTGAGCGTTCAGCCTGGAGGCAGGCGGTGCATCACGGCCTCTCCCAATTTGAAGAGACCCTTGCCCAGCAGGCCGAGGCAAAGAGGAAGTCACAAAAGCAGCAAAACCAGGGAGCCGGACAGGGGACAGATTGGATCTGTCTTCAGTGTGGAAGAGATTGTCACTCTCGAATTGGCCTTCTCAGCCACACTAGGCGCTGTTCCAAGTCCTCCATACAGAGCACGTTACCATAGTCTTTCGAGACTGAAGGATGCCTAACAACACATACTGGTAACTATGTGACTTGCCAGCAAATTCATGTTTAGTTTATACACACCATTAAGTCATAAATAATGTTTTACAGGGATGACATGTTGCTCAAAAACTATAAAGAGGAATGTCCATAAGCCACTTTACCACCGTGAAAGAAGAAATACACTTTTAAACCACTGGTCTGATCCAGATGTATGCGTAATGGGAGAGTGGGCTGAATGGCAATTTTCTCCAGTTCTTCTTTCATTCTTGAAAAGCTTCCAGACGGAGTTCAGGGATTCTTGAGAACTGGGTGCATGTAGTTCATAGGTGTAAATGAAAAAAACCACTCTCCTTCCATTCCTCTAGTGCAAGCCTCTGCTAGAGCCCAGTTCCCTCCATGAACAGAAGGCGGTGTCTTTATTTACCAAAGGACAAGTTTGTGTCTAATATTTAATTCCTACTCCACTCTCGGAATGTAAAACTTGAGCTTTTCTTTAACATTCTTCATAGTTAAAGCTGCAAATTTGCTATGAGAAGGTCCCAACGGAAGGACTTCCCCAGGAGTAAAAACAACCAGACCTCATTTTTTAGTAGGCCTTCAGAATGAATGTAAAGACTTGTCCTTCCTTTTGTAACTTTAACAACAGATACCAAATAATTAGGATGACTTCTGTTTTTTATTTGGTTCATCCTTACAACTGAATTTATAAAACTGCAATGTACAAATATATTTCAAAAACACACACAGGAGTTTAATACATTCTTCTAAAGCTGGCCCAAGGTCAGAAGCATCTTGTGTCTCACAGTATCATGAAACAAGTAGTAACTTGGTAAGAAAAGTTCTGCTACTCTTTTAAACAGTCATGTGTTTGTTTATACAGTATCTCTTCTTACTGATGACTGGAATCTAATATATCATTTTCTTAATAATAACATCATTTTATACAAATAAATCAGACATTTACTCATCTTCCAAAAACCGAATATGCTTGCTCATCTCTTGTGTCTTTGCTAGTCTCATTTTTTCAGCTTTGGCAATTAGCTGTAGAAGAAAAAAGTTAAAAAAAGTTTGCATTACAATATAAAGTTAAGAACTTACAATGAATGCAAAAGGAAGAGAATGAAGCTGCAGAAAGGAAAATTTTTTTAAAAAACGAAAAGCTGTGGGATCATGACTATCATCTCTTTTTTAGAACTGTCAACTTAACTACCATGGAATTCCCCAAATTCTTAAACAAGGTAGGGCTTTCCAATCATTAATTACTCCTGAGAGTATTTGGTTTTATTAAAAATGGGGGAAATTATTAGCATGCTTTGAACAGCCTTGGGCACAAGATTCAACAGATTTTGTTTAGGAAGGCATGGATGTTAAAATTTAAAACCAACTGAAATAGAAGGTAGATAAGATGCAAAGAAAATTCTCTTCCTCCTAAGAATCACAAAAATATAGGTAGTCTGGGAAAAAAAAAACATATTCACAAGATAATGTAGAGGTACAAGTAATTTATGGAAGGTGGCACCAATGGATTGTCTAGGTTTACAATCCTTCACCAATTTTCTGTTGGTAAATTCCACTTAATACAGTGGAATCACCAACTAAGAGTAAATTATAAATTGGCCCAAATTCTCTTGCCTCATTACACTGGCATAACATAAATGACTTAACATTCAGAGGTGGATTGATTGCCTTAAATTAAGAAATCATCATCAACATTATTTGTTGCATACCGAGTTGTGTGACTCAGCATGCAACTGACAATGATTTCTTAACTTGAGATAAATTGCCTCCAAAAGTTATAATGGAGGAATGTTGCAATGATTTATATATTTACAAGTACTTAATATATATTCTCAAAGGTTTTCACGACCGGGATCTGATGGTTGTTGTGGGTTTCTCGGGCTCTTTGGCCGTGTTCTGAAGGTTGTTCTTCCTGACGTTTTGCCAGTCTCTGTGCCGGCCACAGAGACTGGCGAAACATCAGGAAGAACAACCTTCAGAACACGACCAAAGAGCCTGAAAAACCCACAACAACCATTAACTACTTAATTATTCCTCCAGGAGCCAAGGTTTGCTCTTCTCCCATTTTATTCTTGCAATAGAGGATATTAGATAGAAGGGGAGTGACTGATGTAATGAAGAATATTTTGTTAAGTATCATAACTTTTCTGGGAATTCAATCACCCTAGCTACTATACTACTATTGCACACTAGACTATTATGCAGACAATTAATTGCACCATGGATCAATGCAGATTTGAATTCTGTATACATTGCAGTTTACCTGAAAATTAAATATAATTAAGCTTCAAGGGTTGGGGTGGGGAAATATTCATACTTCATCTGTAATAGTGAATAGCACAAGCAGCAACTCAGAGCAAAATTTTGCATAGAAAAGAGAACTTTACTGCTGGCTAGAGAGGGACTTGTACTCCTTGTCGTACTCCTTTCAAAATTGGGAAAGGAGTAGGACAAGGCTGTATATTGTCCCCATGCTTATTTAACTTATATGCAGAATACATCATGCGGAAGGCAGGACTGGATGAATACCAAGCTGGAATTAAGATTGCCAGAAGAAATATCAACAACCTCAGATATGCAGATGATACCACTCTGATGGCAGAAAGTGAGGAGGAATTAAACACCCTCTTAATGAGGGTGAAACAGGAGAGTGCAAAAAAATGGTCAGAAGCACAACATCAAAAAAACTAAGATAATGGCCACTGGTCCCATTACCTCCTGGCAAATAGAAGTGGAAGATATGGAGGCAGTGACAGATTTTACTTTCTTGGGTTCCATGATCATTGTAGGTGGTGACAGCAGCCACAAAATTAAAAGACACTACTTCTTGGGAGGAAAGCGATGACAAACCTAGACAGCATCTTAAAAAGCAGATACATCACTTTGCCAACAAAGGTCCACATAGTCAAAGCTATGGTTTTTCCAGTAGTGATGTATGGAAGTGATAGCTGGACCATTAATAAGACTGACTGCCGAAGAATTGATGCATTCTGAACGAAATCAACCCTGAGTGCTCACTGGAAGGACAGATCCTGAAGCTGAGGCTCCAATACTCTGGTCATCTCAGGAGAAGACTCCCTGGAAAACACACTGATGTTGGGAAAGTGTGAAGGCAAGGGAAAAGGGGGAACGACAGAGGATGAGATGGTTCGACAGTGTCACCGAAGCTACGAACATGAATTTGACCAAACTCTGGGAGGCAGTGGAAGACATGAGGGCCTGGCGTGCTCTGGTTCATGGGGTCATAAAGAGTCGGACACAACTTAATGACTAAACAACAACAAAGAGAGGGACTGCAGTGCACCGCAGACGACATCTTCTTGCAAACACCAGATCATATAACAGTTTGGCTTTGGTTGATTGCTTTGGCTAGCACATCACCTAGTGTCAATCTCCATATTGGCTGATATATAGGGACTTAGTGCTTCTGTTCAATGCCAACACAGAAGCCATGTACTTCAACTAAAAGGCAATGAATGGACAATTTACTGAGTACTTGCAAGTCATCTGGCTACAGAGAGGCAGGCAGTTTGCTATACATCTCTGCTGGCACAACCTATCAACACCAAAACTCAAGCTTATGTCTGTCCTTATAGCCTCCATATTAGAGACCAAGTCGCCACTGCTCTTACAGTTATGAAATCTAATCATAGCAAAGAAGGAACATGCTTACTTCAGACTGGCAAGGCACCATGTTTTCTTCTATACCAGGTATAAGAAACCTGCTATAGAAGAGGGAAAGGCTCTGAAGTCTTGGTTCACAACCTCTACAAAAGTCCCTATGAACTCCACCCAGCCAAAGTGTTCTAAAAGGATCCTTTACATGATTTCAATCCAACCATTAACACTAAAGTAGTTCATGGTTATGCAAAAATTACTTTAAGGAGATCAACAACATAAGAGGATTACCAACCCTAAAGTACTTTAGGGTTTGTTTGTTTTTGCATATATTCAAAGGAAGTAATGAGATACTTAATAGGATGTAACACTCTTCCAACTGGGATCTTTTGACATGAAACTAACTCATTCAAAATGTATCAAGTAATTCAGGTCAGGTTTTACATCAGGCAACCATATGTCAAAATGAAGTCTGTAATTCATTTATATGTTTTACAGTTCATTTATATGCGGGTTGAAGCAATTCCTTTTTTATTCTAATTTAGCTGAGTAACTAAAGTTAAACAGACTTTATTAAGTACGTATAGAACACACCTCATTTAATATCTATCTCAACTTCAGTAAAATTTAAGATATTCTTGTATTTATAAAATTGAATTTTAGTGACATAGGGCATCTAGATAAATGCAGAGTTTAGATACATGAATTTCATATACCAGAGGATAAACTTGCCTGCAGTTAAGATTCTTAAACTATTTGTCTTCTTTGGTCCTTACTTCCCATGGATTTCAGGTATTTCTACAAGTTTTCTGAAAAGTCTGCTTTTAGTAATATGGATCTCTATTAATTTTAGATTAATACGTTGGGAGTGCTAGGGAGACTAGCTGTTGAGCTTGTTAAGATCAAAAATGCTTTAACCCACTTGATTCCATGGGACATGCACAGGCTTGTCTGGCAGAATGCCAAAAAGATTTGTAGATGTTGGACTTGTTTTCTTTTCAGATAGCCATGACTTCTTTTGTAAATCACTGCTCCTTTTCAGCTGCTAATGTTGTTATGTGACAACAATTTTTCTCTTCTCTGTACCTTCCCTAACTAGGGCTAACTAATCTAATACTGGAGAACTATAAAGGAAAAAATGGCCACTGGAATAGATGATTTTAAAATAATAATAATAATACAGTGGTGCCTCGTATTACGATGTTAATTCGTTCCAGCGAAATTGCTGTAGAACGAAAACGGCGTAATGCGAAATTAAAAAGCCCATAGAAACGCATTAAAACCCGATTAATGTGTTCCTATGGGCTTGAAACTCAATGTCCAGCGAAGATCCTCCATAGCGCGGCCATTTTCGCTGCCTGTGCAGCGAAGAATCCGTCCCAGAAGAGAGCAGGGAGCCATTTTTTTTACCCGGCGGCCAGTTTGAAACCGCCGATCAGCTGCCCGAAAATCGTCGCTTTGCAAGAATAGGTTCCCGAAGCAGGGAACCAATCATCACAAAGCAAAATTCCCCCATAGGAAACATTGTTTTGTGATCGCAAAAAGTTCCCCGTCTAGCGATTTCGTCATTAAACGGGGCGCTCATCTTGCGAGGCACCACTGCACATTGAATTAAATTGTTCAATTCTATGCCACTTTTAGTATGCTGAAGTAAAGTTTATAAAACTTTACAAATTACTGGTCTTAGTAATAAACCCCCAATTTCTCCAATGCAGCAATGGGAAGTTTGAATATCCAACTCCTGAAGTAGAAAAGCTGATTATTATGACTAGAGGTGGGCAACATACAGCCTTCCAGATAATGAATTGCAAATCCCATCAATCCCAGCCAGCAAAGTTAATGGTAAGGAAAGCTGGGATTTGCATTCTGACGATATTGTGAGGGCCATACTTGGCCACTCTGGTTTAAAGCATGTGTTTTGACCAAAAAATGTTACTACCAAGACAACCTATCAATCCATTTAAAAAAAGTGTTCTCACAGCTACGGCTCTAGCTTTTGTTGCAAAGAAACCAAATGAAAACAAAAAAGCTCCATAGAAATCATACAAATTTATGCAGCTCCTTTATGCTGAGTCACATTAACTGCTAAATTAATGCAATATTGTCTACTTAAATTAACAATAAATTTTACACACTTTCATTATATTTGTTGCAGGGATATAAGCAATCTTAGAACTGGAGATTTAACATATACAAAACTTTTGTTGTTTAGTCCTTTAGTTGTGTCCGACTCTTCGTGACCCCATGGACCAGAGCACGCCAGGCCCTCCTGTCTTCCACTGCCTCCTGGAGTTGGGTCAAATTCATGTTGGTAGCTTCAATGACACTGTCCAACCATCTCGTCCTCTGTCATCCCCTTAACCTCTTGCCTTTACACTTTCCCAACATCAGTGTCTTTTCTAGGGAGTCTTCTCTTCTGATGAGATGGACATGTTCCTTCTCATACAGCACAAAACTTGTACTGTACATCAGAACAACTGGCCAGTCATGTGCAAAATATGAAAGAGGCTTATAATGATCCAAATGATTAGGCCCATTGTCTGAGGTCACAGTCTTCCAATTGGTGGCTAGGTTCTCAGTCTAGCTGAGATCTAATTTCCCTGGCTAAAAAGGAGTGAACTTGAGATGTACTGATATTAAAAAAACAAAAAAACAAAACACTCTTGCCTTTGAATTAGATCAGTGGTTCTTAACCTTTGTTACTCAGATACTTTTGAACTGCAACTCCCAGAAACTCCAGTCAGCACAGCTGGTGGTGAAGGCTTCTGGGAGTTGCAGTCCAAAACTCCTGAGTAACCCAAGGTTAAGAACCAGTGAATTAGATGACCAGAAAATCCAAGAAGTCCTAAAGTATTTAATCTTACCTTTTCTGTGCCCCGCTTCTTTTCTCGTGGTTGATTAAGTTTAGCCTGTCGATCTACCAAGATCTTCTGCCAATATCGCTGTTCATGATCACCTAAAAAAAAAGCAAAAAATTAAGTGTATCATACTTATACTGAACAAATAGCACACAATTTAGCTTGCAATGGCTGTGTCAATGTATCATGGATGAAATGCAACTGTGTCTAATAACTAATAATTTATTTCTATAGAGGTCATGTTGGCCTGAATCGGACATTGTGATTATGCTAGGACAAGGCCCACCACAGCAGTAGTTCTAAAGTTTCCAAGTTAGCTTAAGTACCAGTTTTGTTAAGCAAAAGGCCATGCAACTGCCTGTTCAGCCACTTGCACAAACATCTGCACAACAGAGGAATCTAACAGATTTTTCAGTCTGTTAGCATATCTGGCTGTTGAACCAAAGTTGGGAGTTTGATTTCCCACTGAGCCTCTTTGAGAGGGCTGGATTCAATTATCTCTAGGGTTTCCTTCTAGCTCTGTAGTTCTAAGATGATGATGAGCCCATCAAAGGAAAAAAAAATAGTCACTTTTGAACATGCACCTTATTCTTCCTCCACTTTCTACAAGGTTTTGTATGGCACAATCAGAGGGCACTCAGTGGCTCTTTTCAAGTGCTCTGAGCTCCAGCTAAACAGAGAATTTCACAGAGTATTTTCTGTCTGAAGAATGTGGGGACAGGGGCAAGAAGGAATCATATGAACTCTTAGCTGCTACTTATTTCACAATGTACAACGTATTAACCAGCTTTGCATTAGTTCCTATGGGAACTAATGCTTCAATGTACGAACGCACCTCTACATAACAAAAAAAAAATCAGCCAGAACGGATTAATTGGTTTTCAGTCCATTCCTATGGGAAATTTTGCTTCAACTTAAGAACGTTTCAACTTAAGAACACCATTCCAAAACCGATTAAGTTCTTAAGTAGAGGTTCCACTGTAGTCTCTATGAACGGAAAAGAGCAGATACGGATTAAATGGTTTTCAATGCATTCCTATGGGAAATGCAGATTCAACGTAAGAACTTTTCAGCTTGAGAACCACCTTCCAATACGGATTAAGTTCTTAAGTAGAGACCCCACTGTAACAGATTTTTCAGTCTGTTAGCATATCTGGATGTTGAACCAAAGTTGGGAGTTTGATTTCCCACTGAGCCTCTTTGAGAGGGCTGGATTCAATTATCTCTAGGGTTTCCTTCTAGCTCTGTAGTTCTAAGATGATGATGAGCCCATCAAAGGAAAAAAAATAGTCACTTCTGAACATGCACCTTATTCTTCCTCCACTTTCTACAAGGTTTTGTATGGCACAATCAGAAGGCACTCAGTGGCTCTTTTCAAGTGCTCTGAGCTCCAGCTAAACAGAGAATTTCACAGAGTATTTTCTGTCTGAAGAATGTGGGGACAGGGGCAAGAAGGAATCATATGAACTCTTAGCTGCTACTTATTTCACAATGTACAGGGAAATGGGTCGCTGAGACGAATGAAGTAGGCTCTGTGTGTTAATTTAAAAGAGTACTTTCAGAACGGGCTACAGAACAAGGGAATGCATGTGTTGACTGGGACTCATTGTGCTGTTAAATACACTATCTTCTATCCAGCTGGTTACACATATAGCAGGGGGCTGCTGTAAATGTTCCTCAAGCTGAATATACTGGGACTGCTTCTGCTGATGGAATCAAAAAGTGATTTCCCCGCACAGGGAAATCTTTCTTGAAGACTTAGAAATCCTCTAGAGCAAATTTACAAAACATGTGGAGTGCTGCTAGTAAGAAAGGAAAGAAGAATATGGGGAAGATTGGACCAGCAAATAAACCTCACCTGACAGGATCTCAAGTTTCCAGTTGTTTTTCGTTTGCAGCTCTTTCTGTGACTTTATTAGGGTTTGGGCATCTTCAGGTGTTTTAAGCCGCACATGACATTCTGTATCTCCTTCCAGCAAGTCAACATAAGCAACATTAGCAATTGTTGCTAACACATCCTATAATAAGAAAACAAATAACCCAAAACAATTTAACAGTTTTACATAAACACACACACATTAAATAGGGGATACCTCATATGCCACAAGGAAATACCTCTACATAAAACAAGAGAATTCAATATTTTTCACATAATAGCAGTTATAATCCTACTGGGTATCAGGACATGTTATGTATTTCCTACAGTACTTCTCTGGAAGCACAATTATGGGCGACAGGGAAAGGGAGTAAGTAATTGTGGTAGTAATCACATAATGTGTGTCTGTAAAATACATAAAAACCATAGGCAACTTCCTCCCTTTTACAGGCATTCTATTACTAGGATAAAAAAGGTAAAGGTTCCCCTTGACAACTGTCCAGTCGTGTCCAACTCTAGGGGTGGTGCTCATCCCCGTTTCCAAGCCATAGAGCCAGCATTTGTCCATAGACAGTTTCCGTGGTCACGTGGCCAGCGTGACTAGACATGAAACCTTCCTACTGAGGTGGCACCTATTTATCTACTTGCATTTTTACATGCTTTTGAACTGCTAGGTTGGCAGGATTACTAGAATAGTACAATACAAATCAGGCAAATAATTTTATTTTATATACCTGTATCTTGCTCTTTGTTTTAAGGAACTTAGGGTTAAGTAGGTTTGGCAGGAAAGTTTACTTAAAGACTATCCAGTAATTATCATGGAACAAAAGAAGTAAAACATAATTTGGTTATATGGATTTTAGAAACAGGAGCTTATGTTTTATGGTTGTTGTGGGTTTTTCAGGCTCTTTGGCCGTGTTCTGAAGGTTGTTCTTCCTAACGTTTCGCCAGTCTCTGTGGCCGGCATCTTCAGAGGACAGCACTCTGTTAGGAAGAACAACCTTCAAAGAGCCCGAAAACCCCACAACAACTATTAGATCCTGGCCGTGAAAGCCTTCGCGAATACAGCTTATGTTTTAATTTCTCTTCAGCCCTGACATTTCCTGAGTAATCTTAAATTCTCCTGCCTCCTCAGAAGGACAACACATACACAAACACATTGCATGTGTTTCAAATATTAATTCAATTCTCATAAAACTTAACACTTTGTGTAATGCTTTAAATTATTCAAGATATTTAATACATATTATCTTGTTGAAATTCTTAAAATGACTGTGTAAACGCAGATGATTCTTATGAACTTAATCCATCCCCTGTCAAAGAGGCACAGTTGGAAATCAAACTTCACAACCAGGGGTAAGAGGGCAGGTCCTCTTATGGATTGAGAACTGGTTGAGAACCAGGAAACAGAGAGTAGGTGTCAATGGGCAATTTTCACAATGGAGAGAGATGAAGAGCGGTGTGCCCCAGGGATCTGTCCTGGGACCAGTGCTTTTCAACCTGTTCATAAATGACCTGGAGACAGGGATAAGCAGTGAGGTGGCCAAGTTTGTAGATGACATTAAACTTTTCCTGGTAGTGAAGACCAGAAGGGATTGTGAAAAGCTCCAGAAGGATCTCTCCAAACTGGGAGAATGGGTGGCAAAATGGCAAATGTATTTAAATATAAGAAAATGTAAAGTAATGCATTGGGGCAGAAAATCAAAACTTTAATTATCAGCTAATGGGTACTGAACTGTTTGTAATGGATCAGGAATGAGATCTTGGTGTGCTGGTGGACAGCTCAATGAAATGTTAACTCGGTGTGCCACAGCAGTGAAGAATGCCAATTCCATGCTAGGTATCATTAAAAGGGAGATTGAAAATAAAACAGTCAACGTTATAATGCCATTGTACAAAATGTTGGTAAGGCTGCACCTGGAGTACTGCATACAGTTGTGGTCACTGCACCTCAAAAATACATAGTGGAACTGGAAAAGGTGCAGAAGAGAGCACTAAAATGATGACTGGGCTGGGACATCTCCCTTATGAGGAAAGGCTACAGTGTTTGGAGCTCTTTAGTCTAGAGAAAAGACGCCTGAGGGGGACATGATTGAGATGTATAAAATTATGCAGGGGATGGATAAAGTGGATAGAGGGAAGCACTTTTCCTTCTAACACAATATTAGAACCAAAGGCCATCCACTCCAATTGAGTGTTCGAAGAGTGAGAACAGACAAAAGAAACAATTTCATTACCCAGCGTGTTGTTAGTCTGTGGAACTCCTTGCCGGAGGATGTGGTGATGGCATCTGGCCTAGATGCCTTTAAAAGGGGATTGGACAGATTCCTGGAGAAAAAGTCCATCGCAGGTTACAAGTGATGTTGGGATTGTATAATCTCCGGGTTTAAAAAGAAGGTACCTCAAATTGCCAGATGCAGGGGAGGGGTATAAGGAGACAGGTATCTAGTTGTTTTGTGTGCTCCCAGAAGCACTTGATGGGGCCCACTGTGAGATACAGGAAAGTGGACTGATCCAGCAGGGCTTATGTTCTTACTTTCTTATGACTGGAAGCTGAGGCTGGTAGATGTTACTGACATAGCAGAGCGAGGCAGCCTGGTGCCTTTCAGAATTTTAGACTAAATTCTCCTAATCCACAATGACTGGGCATGTTGTAGGAATTGCAGTCCACCTTTTGGAAAGCAGCAGGCTTCCTACACTTAGTGTAAAGCCATCTTTACCCAGCTAGCTGTAGAGGAAGAATTCTGTAGATCAGCCTTGTAGATACTATTCTAAGCAACCCTATATCCGACCTAAAAAGAAATAATTAGTCATGTGACTGTCAAGTTCATTACATTGCTAGTGTGAAAAAAACCCAACACTTAAATAGCAAGGAGTAGAGTTAGAGCAAATGCTACGACCTCAAAATTTATGACAGTTAGGTCTAACAGGATTAGATCCCAAAGCACAAGAAACAAAATGGTAAAACACAACTGTTACTGGGCTCAGTAAAATAGACAAAGGAAGGGTGTATCTATAGAAATATAAACTGTTTTAATTATGCAAATACAGTATGGATAATATAATTAGATACATGCAATAGATTGCATTCTCAAAGGCTTTCACAGCCAGGATCCGATGGTTGTTGTAGGTTTTTCAGGCTGTTTGGCCATGTTCCAAAGGTTTTTCTTCCTAACGTTTTGCCAGTCTCTTTGGCTGGCATCTTTAGAGGACAGGAGTTAGAACTCAGAACACAGACAGAGTTCTAACTGCTGTCTTTTGAAGATGCCACAGAGACTGGCGAAACCTTAGGGGGGGGCGGGAAAAAATCTTTGAAAAAAACCTTTGGAACAAGACCAAACAGCCCGAAAAACCTACAACAACCAAGCAACTGATTATTCTTCCTTCTATTCAACAATAAGAGAGTTAAGGCATTTAAACTTATGTATTCTGGTAGCAGAGTTATGTATTGGATAAGGATGTAAGATTTCACTTCTGGAAGCCCATGGAACATTAGGAAGAAGTGATTTTCATAGACAAGTGCTTTTCTGTATTTGAAAACACTGTCACAAAGAAATAAATTTCTTCAGCCTTGTCCTACAATGAAAGGATCCACTCAAAGATATTACTCAAGAGAACTAGCTGACAATCCAAAATGCATAACAAAGGGGCAGTTAAAAAGACAAAAAAAAATTTCCAAGAAAAACTAACTACAGTTATGGACCCTTGACTTACAGACGGCTTGACTTACAGACTTTTTGAGTTACAGACTTCTCTGGCCACAAAATTTAGGTTTGACTTGCAGACTGAGATTTGATTTACAAACCAGAAAAAAAAAATGGAACAAAAACGGCCTGTTACGGGATTAATTGGTTTTCAATGCACTGTAGGTCAATGGAGACTTGACTTACAGACTTTTTGACTTGAGAACCGTCTTCCAATACGGATTAAGTTCTCAAGTTAAGACCCCACTGTACCCTGAGGTTTCAGAGACTTTACCTTGATGTGCTTTCTGCCTGGCAAAGGTTCAGCACTAAGGATCTTCACAATTACTCCACTCTCAAACTGGGGTCCCATTGAATGAGCCTTCTCCACAGGGGCTAACCCATCTTGGCCAGCTGCATGTTTCAAAAGATAAAGAAAATAAACAAAATTCATATGTAACAATTTAACACTAGTCAAATTCAAAATGGCTGGTGATGTGGATTTTATAGTTTTGAACTGAAAAAAAAAATTTCAGTGTTCTAAATAGTGATCTGATTTCCTATGTGTCTTTGATTTATATTTATAAAACAACACTTCTGTATTCCCTATAATCCATATTTCAACGGAAATATCTGATTAGAGAAGAAGCATAGTGTAATTTAAATACAGTATGTTATTCAGATAAATCCAAAGTTTTATTTGTTGTTTTAAATGATAAAAATATATAATTTTCTAACTTTCTTCCAAATTTCAGGGGGAAAGATACCAAACATTTTAGCTTATTCAGGTAACAATGCATTATACGCTGCAGTTGTTCATTGAACTATTTTCAAAATAATTTAATAATTCCCCTGAGGTAAAAGAGGCACCTGCAATTTAACTGTAATTTGCTGAAGTCCTGTTGCTTAGCACGATAAGTCACACTAGATAGAATAGGTGCATTGAATCAGTAGAGATTTGATGAGTCACCTCTTCCAGTGCATTCCATTGATTGAAATGGGCTTACTCTAGTATAGTAAGTTACAACCAAAGTAGGCTCATTTGAATCAGTTGAACTTACAGAGGGGCTGACTCATGAAATACCCACTGATTCAATGGGCCTTGTCTAGTGCAACTAACAAACAGGATTTCAGTCATTGTGTAGAACTACTCGCACTGCTTAATTCAGGCTGAAGCAAATCTTATACCTGTAACACAATCTTACTGATGAAATTTTTTGAAACCATTTTTACAAAAAGGAAATTTCTACACAAAAGTTAAGTAATGAGAAAAGGCTATGGAAAATTTCTGCCCCATATCACTGTACACAAACAGAACATGTTATCAGTATTGCTTATGCTGGGTAGGAAAAACTGTGGAATACACCTGTCTTTCTCTTTAACAATTTGGGATATATAAGTTGCTATGATTGGCAGCAATATATACTACAAATGACACCTAAGCAATCTACAGATTTTAATTTAAAGTGCCACTATGATTCCTAAATCTTCCATGAGAAAGTATCCATAAACTTACTCTTGTCTTTCTGTATCCTCAAGCTGTCCCTCTCCTGATATTCTAAACTACAATTCCCATCAGCTCTAGTCAGCATAGTCAATAGTTGGACATAACTGCACTATACTGGGGCTGCACCACCACAGCCAGTGTTGCCGCCCATTTGGTTCCATTTGCAGCCAGAAACCTGTGCATGTGAGGCAGGGCCCCACCCACTGCTTGTGGAAAATTAAGAGGGAATGTTAGACATGACTATGTCACATTCTGTTAATTGATGAAACTGAATGATTCTAAAAGGAAATATTTATAAAATGCATACAGATTATCCTTCTGAATGTAAATGTAAAGCTAAGTGAATTTAGATTAATTTGATTCTCTTAAGTTAACAGATGGTGAATAATGAAGTTTTCAGTGGAATCAGTAGAGAAATAGTCTCCTGGATTTGAAAGTACTTCAATTTTACTAAGTTCTTATATATTTTAAAACAAGAAGATTTTGACTTAATGTTAGGAAAAGTTTCTTTGCAATAAGAATTGTTTAGCTGTGAAACAGACTCCCTATGTGGAACAGCCTGTGCATCAGACAACCACTGAGAGCCTCCCTGCATTGTCAGGACTGGATGATTTGAATACTTTCCTGTCCTACAACTCTATGGTTCTACATGGATCTGTGTATTTCAGGCTTACAGGATCTCTTATCTTTTGTTAGAATCTTATGATCTAGAAAAATGGTCCTCTGGGGAAAGGCATACATCTTAAGAAAATTTCTTACTTTTCTTCAACAGAGCTATTTAGGAATATTATCAGAATTCTGTCCTCAACAGTTGTGCTGGAGAAGAATTCTAGACAGCAATGGTTACAAGGCAAGTACAAACTTTGGCAATGTTTTAATGGTTTCAATAATCTCAATTTAGTACTATGGGCATGAGTTTAAAAAGCCCATGTTGGCACCCGTCCTGTTTTACTCCCAGAGTCAGGGAGACCATTTGCTTTATTTTGTAAACTTCTTGGTTTGTTGTATCAATGCAAAATGATCGTTAAAAGCAAAGACAGCCTGTTACAGAGGAAAACTAATGCAATTAAGGATTTCTGATTCCTTACTTAGCAACTGACTCAATCAAGTTAGAAAAATCTCATCTAGATTTTATCTTAAGCTATGACTGCTGTTCTCACACAATAGCCCCCAAATTAAGCAAGTCATACCAAGTGCTATGTTGTTCATCCCTCAGCAGTGCAACACAGCAGGGGAAGAGCATGTGAGACTGCTGCCCATGAAGGCAATGCTTTATGTACAAATCCTCCAGTTACATCAGCAAATCTATGTATTTATATGCATCAATATTGTAACAATAATTAGTACGGCTTTAAAGATCTCATTAAAATGATCTTGGATACTTAATACATATTTATTTTTTAAGTTCTATAGTAATATAGGATTTCTTTATCTAAGTAACATACAAATGTATATCAACTGTGGTTTTACCTTATAATAAATCAATTTTGCAACATATAAAGTACAAGATATTTTTAGCATCTGAAAACCATTTGTCCATTAATTTCTTTTCTTTTCTCATGAAAACATTAAAATCACCACAGTTCTCGAATTTTGCTCAAATCCCAGTTCCACCACTAGAATATAAGACACTTTACTAAACAACAACACAAATTATGATTAAATTTAAAACACACTACATTTGCCATTTTTTGCTGCAGGATGGTTTGGTGTAGAGGCATTTGTTTCCATTTCCCCCTCAGTCATATTTTTTGTTTGAGTCATCGCTTTTTTTAAGGATGACATGCTCGCTTTCTGCAGGGTCAAGTACTCTTGTTTCAGCTGCATCCATTCATTTCTACAAACACCAGAACAGAGAAATGTCAGTATTGATATGCAGAAACAACATTCTAAAAAAGAAATCTAACTAAAATTATCATAAACAAGGCCAAAAAAAAGAGAAAAAAGGGTAGAAGACAATGATGGAAATCAATTAGCAAACATATGCTGTGTAAAACTGATGATAACAGGGACCTTGGAAATTTAGTTTCCAAAAACTCACCATAGCTGTTAACATAATTAGCCTTATGCAGCATAAATAATATTGCTGGATTTCAGCTACTAGATAGGTCCAAGGGTTATTTTGCCCATTTTTTTAAAAATATGAGACAGCTATAGCAGTGCAGGTTTCAGAAAAAAATTAGATTGAAAATAGATTGTGTTTGAACTGGATCTACTTCTTATGGTATACATAATTTTGTATGCATGTTTTAAAAATTAGACAAAAGTTATCAATAGACTGTACAGTTCTAGAGTACTGAAAGCACATACGCCTAAAAAACAGGCATACAAACAGTCATAAACCTGAAGGAATTATTCAAACACCAGATGCAACTGCTGAGACTAGTGTATTATTAGTCATGAAAATGTGTAGAGCCAATTGAAAACTGTTACTTTTGGTGTTGATTTTGTTTACCACTTTTAGTGTGGTATTTGATTATTTTTAATATTTGTACACTTACTGTCTTTACCTTTTAAATATTGTTTTATAATGATGTAAGCCATGTTGGGTCCTTTTTAAAGAGAAGGTAGGGTAAAACATTTTAAATAAATTAAAAATAAACCACTTGTTTAATTTAAGTTGTATTGTTAACTTGCTATTACAAACTAGTAGACAGAAGATAGCCTTTGATACATGTGGCAGCTTGTAAAGTATGCTGGACTGGATGGGCCTAGCAATAGTACCTACTCATAGTCAGTATACAGAGATTAGTTATGGCTTAGCTGTGAAGCATGTATCACAGATACTAATAATTACAAAATAATTAAGAATAAACTAGAAAATCTGGTTAATTTTAAATTAATATTTTTATATTAATGACTAAAAAAATGCCTGGAAAACCAGGTAAAAATCCCAAAATCTGTGAAAACTGGAATATTTTAAATAACCCAGATGTTTTTGAATACCCCACAGGTGAAAGCATGGCATGAATTCAAATTATATATTTACATTCATTTAACAGGGAGATCTTTTGTAAAAAGCTAGAGCTTTGGAATACATAGAGAAGACTACACAGAATACAAGAATACACAGAGGAATTATACCAGAAAGATCTGGATGTCCCAGACAACTCTGATAGTGTGGTTGCTGACTCTGAGCCAGACATCCTGGAGAGTGAAGTCAAGTGGGCCTTAGAAAGCATGACTAACAACAAGGCCACGGGAAGTGATGGCATTCCAGTTGAACTATTTAAAATCTTAAAAGATGATGCTGTTAAGGTGCTACATTCAATATGCCAGCAAGTTTGGAAAACTCAGCAGTGGCCAGAGGACTGGAAAAGTTCAGTCTACATCCCAATTCCAAAAAAAGGGCAGTGCCAAAGAATGCTCCAACTACCGTACAATTGCACTCATTACACACACTTCCAGGGTTATGCTCAAAATCCTCCAAGGTAGGCTTCAGCAGTATCTGGACCGAGAACTCCCAGAAGTCCAAGCTGGATTCCGAAGGGGCAGAGGAACTAGAGACCAAATTGCTAACATGTGCTGGATTATGGAGAAAGACAGAGAATTCCAGAAAAACATCTACTTCTGCTTCATTGACTATGCAAAAGCCTTTGACTGTGTGGACCACAACAAACTATGGCAAGTTCTTAAAGAAATGGGAGTGCCTGACCACCTTATCTATCTCCTGAGAAACCTATATGTGGGGCAGGAAGCAACAGTTAGAATCGGATATGGAACAACTGATTGGTTCAAAATTGGGAAGGAGTATGACAAGGCTGTATATTGTCTCCTGGCTTATTTAAGTTATATACAGAATACATCATGCGAAAGGCAGGACTGGATGAATCCCAAGGCGGAATTAAGATTGCCAGAAGAAATATCAACAATTTCCGATAT